GACTGGAGCATGTATTTGAAAAATACTAGCATTTTTATTTTGAAGATAATTAATTAATAAGCTTTGTTATCTTTGAAAATACTATCTTAGGAAAAAAATCTCTTATTCTTTATGTCAATAAGAAAAGTGGGTCAATCAAGACATTAACCTGATCTTTGGAATTTATTTTAATTCAACTAATAGCCTTTCTTTTTTGCCTAGATTTGATTATTACAGCTGGAGGTGAAAATGTGCCTCCAATTCCAATTGAAGATGCTGTTAAAAAAGAACTCCCAATTGTTAGTAATGCTATGGTGATTGGAGATAAAAAGAAGTTTTTGTCAATGTTGCTGACCCTAAAGGTACACCAGTTTTAATATCGATTTCAGTGAAATTATAAACCTGCACCTAACAAAACAAGAAGAATTTTGAACTGTTTGTAAAAAGACCCGAAATTAGATAGGAGGACGTTTGTGGGGAAAAAAAATGTATAGCAACTACAGACCAAATCCTGATGGTCTAAACTTCATATGATTAGATGATCTGCTAAACATCTACGTGTTTAGTGCTGTTTCTCCTAGACATATAAGAAGACCTTTTTTTTAATTTAAATGCAAATTTTTAATTAAGAAATGTTGAAAGAGTGAGAAGTCTGTAACGGAGCACAATAATAGCTTTTATTCTTACAGACGAGCAAAGACAACAGATGTTTCTGTTACAGGTAAAAACAGTTTCTAACAAACTTTCCAACAGAAACATTTCTCTACAGTTTGTTCATATAACACCAGAAGGATGACTGTAGAACAAAATAGTTAATAGTTTTGCTGTGGTATACGCTTCAATTGAGAAATCACTTTTTTCTGAAACATTTGCACTTCTTGTTCTGTGTACATACATACACATAGTGAATGACTGTTTAGTTTTTCTCAAGTTGTTTACCTCTACAACTGATACTCCCTATCTACAGATAGAATAGAAATACCAATTTAAGAAGTCTAACTTCAAAGAATGCGTCTATCTCATGCTGTTTACATTATACCACAGTAATTCAATTTATTGATGAGCTAAATGTTCCCCTGTAACAATGGAGTAATTTGGAAAATATGGTAGAAATTCAAGGTCTGTAGATGGACTTTATTGCCTGATTCATTGACACGTTTTAAGTCTGTTCATGTCATCTGCATATAAGCCAAAAATATTTGCATTTGGTAGCCAAGTGGAAAGAAAAGCACTATCACCTGTAGGTGTTTCTGCTTTTTAAGGCTTACAGAATGTTCGGGTGTTGATGCTGAGCCTTCTTGATTCTTACTAGTCGGGGAGGACCTGATCAGAGAAACATTTAATGCCCTGTAAGAGTGAGCATTTGATGATTCACTTCATTTGATATTTTAGAGTGTGCTGGACCCAGATACATCTGATCCCACCGACATTCTCACTGAGCAAGCTAGAGACTTCTGCCAGAAGACTGGTAGTAAAGCCACTAAAGTATCAGAGATTGTAGCTACAAGAGACCAGGCGATCTACCAGGCCATTCAGGAGGGAATCAACAAAGTCAATGTGAACGCTACTAATAGAGTTCATTGTATTCAAAAATGGATAGTCCTGCCAAGAGATTTTTCCATTTCTGGGGGAGAACTAGGTAAGATTTACTGATTTGTACTGAGGTACACACACAGTAAAGAGGCTGCTGATCTAAGAGTATTCAAATAGTTTTGTATGCCAAATTCTGGGTACAGCCACTAGAGGGAAAGGAAAAAACCATTATGCAGCATGTGTTTAAAGAATACAAAAATTGGAGGTTTTGCTGTGTACGTATGTATCAATCTGTGCTAACTTACAAGTACAGCTGTGTAGTTAAATTTAAGATTGCTTTGGGCAATTAAACAATCAATTCTGGTTAATTCCTTGTGCATTACAGTATTAATAACTTCCAGTAATAATACTGAAGATTTCTTGTTTAAAAAAGAGAGAAGCAAGACAGTGAAAGCCTGACAACAGAGCCCCAAGCACATTACCAGGCTCTCTGCATAAACTGGGAACTGTTTAAAAGCTTTCAAAAACATCATCCTTTACTTTTTTTCATTAAAAATAATTAAGTAGTCATTAGTCATCAGTCATCACCCTCTTATCTGCAGCTCCCTTTGAGGTCCTCGTGCTTATGTGGAGGCAACCTTACACCAGCAAGGCAACCACGCTTGCTTCTCACTTCTCACAGGTATCTACACTTACAGAGTGGGAGATGTTCTTTCAAACAGGTTCTTCAATAGAAAAATCTTAGGAACAAAGCTTAAACTGAGTAGGAATTTTTGTTCCCATTTCTGCTATTGTGACTAACTCCCTCTTTTAAGGTCCGACAATGAAGTTAAAACGGCTCACCGTGCTTGAGAAGTACAGAAAAGAAGTAGACTCCTTCTATGAAGAATAAGAAGCCTTTCATCCAAGCACTAAGAAAGATCTGTGAGCTAAAGAAAGTATTTCTTAATCAAAAGCATTAACGAAGATTATGCTTGTTTTTGTCTTGTAGTCTATTGAACTGAACCACTAGTAAACTGCTGTGTCAATTTAGTTGTTCCTGACACTCACCTGATAGTTTGTCCTCTTTTTACAGAAGCATCTACACAGTGTCTGTTTTCTAATACTGTTTTTACTTTATGCCCTAAATGATTAAGATTAAAAACATCCTCTTGTGTTGTATAAAGTGGGTATAACTAATTAATTCCGCTAGACTGAAACAGAAGGAAAACTTTTTTTATACAGTGAGCTTCCCTTTTAATTATTTTTTTGTGTTCTACAGGAGATTGCCTGTAGCTCATGATACATTTTGGTAGATCAGTAGTTAGCAGTACTGCTTAATGAAACTTATACCACTCCAATGATAAAGACAATTATTAAAAAAAAAAAAAATCAAAAGGGCTGGTTTTTTCCCCTCCCAGAGATGAGTTTATTTTTGTTCACTAACACAACATTTCTGAACCTAAAGACACTCCTCTTCCATTTTTACAGTAGCTAGAATTCAGACTTTTGTGAAAGCAGCAGCTCATAATTTCTTAAATTCATGTTGAAATAAGCTATTTCTCGTAAAACCAAATAATCAAACAAGTTGGGGGAATAGCTCCCTAAGATTGAAAGACACAAAGTAGCAAATACAGGAGCTCTCACATTAAAGTGCTATTTAAAACAGAAATTTCTTAAAAATTGTTTACAGCACTTTTTTTAAGCAAAAGTGTTTAGAAGCAATGTTTGTCAGTGTGTTGCAACTCTACCTGCATCTCTCAATATTCACATTGTACTAATTCTGGTAAGTGTGAGCTGCATTTCTTCTTCCCCTTTATAAAAAATAAATCATGTTATGTGAAGGACATACTTGACAGAAAGCTGTCTAAAGGGTTTGCTGTTAGTAAGTCATCTTTGGCAGAGAGTTATAATAGCTAACACAAGCAGGCTAGGCTACAGCCACTGTTCTTGATCAAAAAAATCATGCAGAATAGGGTATTATTGCCATGAAAGTTCCATTACCAGTCTTACACATCTTAGAGACTTAAGATTTGTTGCAAGTACCAACAATCAGCTCAACACATAAGACAGAAGCCTAGGATTATAAAAACAAAACAAGCAATAGCACTTTGAAAAGTTTATTTTTCCCCATTTTGTGCGTAATGGTAATTCAGAAGTTCTTTAACAATATTAATCTAAAGGAAACAAGGAAGCAGCAGCTTGTAAAGCACAGAAAGAAATGTTGCCCTATTCACCAACAGCAGAGTGCATGAGGAATAAAGCTCATTGTCCCTCCTCCTCCATGTTAGACTGTATAAAAAAAGTTGGGATGCTTACTTTATAGAGTGACACTAGAAGAAGTGACCCAAAATTGATTTTACTTCTGAAACAACCAGCCTCAACAGAAAGCAACTAAGTGGAGTAATATCTATTAATAGAATTAAGCTTTAAGAAGCCTGGTTCTGGCATTAGGGATAATCCTGTGCTGTAGTCATGAGTTTTAAAATACACATTTTCTTGTAGGGTGTACTAATGGAAGCATACCTTAAGACATACAGATCAGAATGACTCGTATGACAATCTGTATGCGATGAAGAAGGGAAGGAAAAGAGTTGCTTTTGCACCCATTAAGCTTAGTAAGCAGGGAAAAAATAGTCTCAGATCCCCTTGAATAGGGATGAAATGTATTTCTGGAACATAGGCACCAGAGCCAAACCTTCAATCCGTCTTAATCCATTTAGGACTAGTCCCTTACACTCAGAGTTTCTAGAATAAAAATACTAGTCAATACAGTAAGACACACTGAACAGACTATGCATAAGTACAACACAAAAAGCATTCTAGCAGAAGTCATGAAATATTTAGTGTAAATTTGCAAAGTTAATACTTTCCCCTCACAATATATGGCAGAAGTAATTTTGTATAATTTACTCTCATTAGAACTCTGTTGTAAAGTGTGTTTCAGAGAGGAAAATTTGTAAGAGTTATATTGGTATATAGATTTAAAAAATAATTTTACTTCAACATTAATTCTCCCCCCTTGCTGGTTACTGGTTGTGGGTTTTTCAAAATACACAAATAGATTAAATCTCTAGAATTTTGTATTTCTTTATTCATGCCCTTGGGAGGGCAAGGCTATATTTCATGAATCACCGGAGTATCTAAAGTGTTTTTTTCATTGCTTTTAACATGAAATTGCTATTTTAAGTTATTCTATACCCGTTTCTGTTTATGAAGGTCATCTTGTGCTATTGTTAGGCTGAAAACCTATCTTTTTAAATATCAGTAAGATCAATAAAGTAGGTTTTAACCATTAAGGTGCTTTTACATTTCACTAATTCTGTTACTGGTTTATTTGCATAATTTTTCTTTGTGGAAAGTAAAAACCTCTAGTTGAAATGGAAAATGGTAGACAGTTACAGTGGCAATAAAAGAATTCACTTACATAAAAATGTTCACCAGATAGAAAAAAATAAATAAGACAAAGCACTTAGAAAAGTCCACTGAAAGCAGGCACAAGCATCATTTGTAGCCATCTGGACTAAATTTATTAATGGAGAGGCCCTAACTAAAAAGTTTGCTCTCTTAAAAGACAAGCAAACTATATGGATATCAGGTTACATACAATGTACTTTGTGCGATGTGTCCTTTTGGAGTTACTACAAGCAGCATGAGAAAAGTTTAGTCTGCGTCCCGTACTCTGCGGCAGATCTCCTCTGTGAATTCCGAACACTTGGCGCTACCTCCCAAGTCTTTTGTCAAGACCTAAAAGAAAGAAAAAATAGTATTACTAAATTGTTTTATGGGGCTAGTCTTGTCTCTGAACAGTTCTATATGTTCTTCTTAGATGTATGGATACAAAATAGGGGTGAGAAGGAATACATCAAGTTTGAGTTTTCTGCATCCCCTATAGCCTTCGCCAATAAGGACTACACAGACTGAAGCAGGTAGGGAAAACTTGAGTATGAACATCAAGCATTATGTTACCAGATTGCAACATGATTTTATCTTAACCTCAGGAAGAAAATGCCTTTGGCCACAGCTCTCCAAAGTCTCTTGGCCACGTAATAGTATAATTGTTAAGTATTTAAGTTTTCAATAAGAAATTTGTCCTTTGGAAGTAAAATTCATATATGAAGGCTCAGCGCAAAGGCAACTAATTGAGAGTCATTCAGTAAGGCTTTGGGGTTTTGTTTTGTTTTAAAGGAAACCCACACAGAAAAAGCACACATAGCTCTTAATGCTCCATGTTAACAGTTCTTTAAGTTTGCTTAGTTTAGTTAAGAGATGGAAAAATGCAGAGTTAAAAAACTTTTTCATTAAGTACAACTCCGGTCTGGAAAATCAAATAAAAATTGGACAGCATCACTTATCCAACCTAACTAGATTAAAGCGGTCTAGGAGATAATTTAAAATCATTAGTTTTACCCTTGTATGGCACACACAGAGATCTGAAATGGCTGGGGAGAAGGGAGGAAAGGGAGAAATAGCAAGCATGAGCGGCAATAAGGGTTACTGTTTTAGGGTCTTGTCATTTTAACTGCGTTATGCTTTTTTCAATTTAAAAAGATTCTCTCCATTGTGAGCAAATAATTATAACATTGTAAGTGACTAGTAAACAAGTAGCCATGTCACAAAACTTGCACTATGTTATCTTCCATAGAATTACTGACCTGCAGATCGAGGATTTCATTTCCAGAGCAGTAAATGGGAACTTTACAGGAGCACCTCTTTATTCACTTGTAAGTTTAGGTTTTGTTTTTTTTTTAACTGGCTCCTACGCACAGTTAAGATAGCTGCAAACAGACCACTTATAAAATTATGGCAGCTTTTTGTTTAAGCATGCTTCTTACTTTTAATTACAAAGCAGCTTTTTATGGTCCTGCCCAAGATAATTGAACTGGCATGGCTAACTGCTAATTGCCTTTAACTGAAATCTTCAGGATCTTTCCAGCTATGTTTTGTAAAAGGTGGACGTCAAAGTAGATGAGCGAACTGATAACGTTAAGAGCACAAATTCAAGTCAGGTTTCAGAGCATAAGTCCTCCCAGAATATCCCATTTGAGTCTTGAATCTGGAGACACTTATTGCCAAAAGGAAATCACATACGGTCTTAAGGGAAAATGTAAATACTGGATAAAAACTGTTCTTTGTAGTCCAAAAAGGAGTGAAAGGAGTTAGGAGGAAAAAAGAAAATAATTGACCTGAAAAAATAGGAGCAGAAGTATTACAGTCAGGACTGAAATGCTATAAATGAAGTGGGTGATTAAACCTGTGAAAGGCAAATGAGTGTCCTTCACTTCAGGATCCAGATTTAAATATATATGCTTTGTATGCACTACAAACTTCACAGGTGAAATACCACCAGTTACTTAAACCTCTAATCCCCTTCATGAAAGCCAGACATCCAGTTCTAGCTTTTAGAGTTAACAAAGCTGTGGAAACGTAGAATGAGCATTACTGAAACAAAAGGAACGCTACAGCCTGTCCTTATTACTGAGCCGGGCAGATTTAATACCACCAAAGATAATATAATTACTATCAGAGAAGGACAGCGGCACTGCTTATGCGTCAGGCCGGCACAGGAGGTCATCCACTGTTCTGGTGTTAATGTTCTAAGTTAATTTTTGCTGTGATAAAGTATGATTTTATTTCACTGCATTTATTTGCACACCCTCATATTACCTTTCCATCTTTAATTGTATCAAAGCAAGCTGTCTCAATTTTTGTGGCGTGTTTGTGTAGTCCCATGTGACGCAACATCATTACAGCACTCAGAAGAAGGGCAGTTGGATTTGCCAAGTCTTTCCCTGCAATGTCTGGTGCTGTTCCATGAACCTAGAAATAAAAGCGAACCTATCTGTTATGATGTCAAATATGCTGATTAAAATGTCCTAGGCAATTCAAGTGTATGCAAGCAACCTGAAACATAGTCCTTGTGCACAAGCATGTTAAAACAGGACTTGCTTCACTGTGATACAGTTAGCGGAAAGGAGATAGGAAAGACTAGAACAATTCAGTTCAAAGGCATCAGAAAGGGGGAACTAGGTCACCTAGTATCTCCCAATTGTGCTGCTCAAGTTCTATTTCAGAGGGTATTTATCTTATGAAAAAGGGGGAAAACAAAGTGTCAGTAAAAGGACATGCAAAAAACTATGTGTAATACATACTTTAACTACTCTCTCCGGGTAAAGTTTCAGCATCTTCACAGTAAAAAATAGTTTTACAGATAACTTAGTTAAATGACAGCCACATAGCATGTCATGGAAAAGTTTTAGATTCTCAAGTTGAGACAGTCGTTATTACTACTATACCTTGCATAAGAAGACTTACCGATTCAAAAATCGCAACTCCATTAGCACCAATATTTCCACTTGGTGTTACTCCAAGACCCCCAATCAGTCCAGCACACAAGTCACTGAAAAAAAAAAACCAACAACAAACGAAACAGAAAAACCCACAAGTTTTTCCATATACAGTTGCCTCTTTGCAAGGTATTAAAATATTGTTGTTTCTCATTTCATTGCAACAATAACTTATTTTATATACCCACACCATCCAAGAATAATATTGGGAAAGAATAGATGCTGTTAGCCACTTGTACTCCATTGGAACATTTGAAAATTTGTAGAACTACTTGCAGGAGACAATTTAATAAAGGAAAATTAAAAGGAAATTCCAAATACTAGAATAAAGCCGATTAAGACATAGGCACAACAAAAGGTACTCAAAGCACAGAATACCTGTAGAAGTCTCAAAAACTAGCAAAAATTGTAACGTACAGTTCCCTGTAACTATTCAGAAGCCTTATTTCTTCTGAAGATGCCACAGAACTACTTTTCGTATGTAAAGTCCTTCTAAAAAATGTGGAAGAATTTTGCTCAGGTAGATGAATTACTAATAGTGGAACATGTTCCCAGTGACACCAGACTAGCTTTTCCCCCTCTCTTTACTGAACAGCCCATGTCACAAGTCTGACATTAGCAGATCATCAGACGTAAGCAATTTGCATTTGGTTTCCTCCAACATTAACATGGGGAAGGACAAACCCAACTGTACCTATAATCATAATACTGTACCCTCAAAGCTGAACATACTGATAAACAAGGCTCTTAAAACTTATATTTTAGCATACTGTTTTATTGTCTACAACTTAGCTAATCAAGGACTAACAAGCAGAAAAGTTTGGATGACCTTGCAGAACAATATTTTAAGTTTAAGCTAAAATAAACACATTAGCTTTAGTTGTATAGAGTCTGGGGAAAAAATGGATAGAGTCTACATTTGTCACTTTAGGTATTTAATGCTTCAAGATAAGAGATCTCCTTCTGTACCTATTCAGGCCAAGAGACCTGTTTGGCATTATGTTCATGCTTTAAAAAAGCACTGTGGGCGAGACCTTCCCCAGTGACAAAAGTGCCCTTCTTCAAGAACAGACTCAAATTTATTGAAAATTTTTAGAACTATGAAATTCTTTACAGAATTTCTATGAGAACTTTAAAATCAGTGATACTGAACTAGGTACAGTGAGTTGAAAGAGTACTGATGATAGGACTCATCTGATTTGATCTCTCTTAGTTAACAGCATAAGAGCTGCTGTGAGGGCCCTGTGGACTCCTCTACCAATTCTTAAAGCAAGAAGCATTAGTTGGAGTCTGATTTTTCTTAGCGGTGACAGACAGCCTTATCAGAGAGAGTGCAATTTTAAGAGAAGCTCAACAAGCATTTCTTCTTATACGTAAGTTACCTTTACATTTATTATCTGTACAAAAACAGGAGATGGATTCTAAGATGTAAACCATCGTTGAACTTTTAAACAAATTCTGATTCAGGCTATTTTCTCAACCTCTCCTTAGAGGTGCAAGGAGAAGCAATGTTATGTTATACACTTAAAAGTTCAGATTAAGATACTTAATTTTACACGCAGTATTTAACTGAATTTACCTAAACGTTTTACAGAATGAAAAATGTGTGCTGATGGATTTTGCCTTCAATACATCAAGTACCTCTAGTATTGATGTTACTCAAATATGAAATTTAATTTGAAGATAAGGAAAAAATACATAAAACAAGAGCTGGTAGGATACTAAGAGGCCACACATTTCATTCTGCGGTGACCACGCAGAATCATTTAACTGTACGGCTAGCTTGCTGTAAACATCATGGCCCCACAGTCATCTTACACAATCTATTTTAGTGATTAAGATTAGAAAGTTTTTCCGCAGTATCTAAGTAAGTGTTCTTTATTACAATTTAAGCCATTAAATTCTTCACACATCGGGAGAAATTTCTCTTCTGCCCCATCTGAACAATATTTCTCCATAAGCAGAAACTTTTTTAAAAATAAGAAGCCCATTCTCATCATATAGCCCCTCCCAACAATATATTAATAATTGAAATGCAATAATACCATCCTTTCTTCCCACTTAAGAGTCTGATTTATAAATTTTTAAACTCTGGATGCATAAGATCATCACCTGTCTGGCTAGCATATAACCTGAATAACTGTCTGGAAAGTAACAGTATTTTACATGTTGGGTTAGTTTAAATCAAAATATCCATACCTGAGGATGTCACCATACAAGTTTGGCATAACAAGCACATCAAATTGTGATGGATCCTGAACCATCTAGAAAGAAGTATATTTTCATTAAGGTTAAGAATTTAAACTGAAAAATAACCACAAGTAAAACATAAAAATACTCACATTCAGACACACAGTATCCAGATACATTTCATTAAATTTAATATCTTTACAGTTTTCTGCTGCCTCCCTGCATTTTCTCAAGAAAAGCCCATCGGACATTCTCCTGCAATTAAATAAGCAAGAGAATATTGCAGTTATTGCAAGTAAGCAATACTGAAGATAAAGAAAACTGCATGCAATAGAGGATTAAATAAAAATATTAGAGTGCAGAAACTTAATTTGTGACTAATTATCCCTTATGTTAAATACAAATAATATTTTAAATATATTACAGTCAGAGAAGTTATGCCTTTTAAATTTCCTCTTAAAATATTTTTGTATCAGTAGTTTAACAGGCATGCATTAATTCTCAGAATTACCCGTATTCATTCACTAAAGGCTTACTGAGTTTGTAAAGGTGGTGTCCCATAATATCACACGTGTTATGACTCAGTTCAGTACCAAGTGGCTTGGAAACTGTAAAAGACACTAACCATTTTCATCCTCAGTTTTTAAATTAATTTTCCTAGTTTTAAGACTATTTTAAAAATAAGAGCTTTGCAAGGAAAGTCACAGGATTACTACAAACTTACTAATAAAAACATTAGTACGTAATTATTACAGCCCTATGAATACTGGGTCAGTATTGCCCCTTTTACTTAGGAGGCATTTACTTTACTTATTGCCCATTTTACTTACTCCTCCTGGCATCAACACAAGTTATACATTTGAGGAAGATTTAAAAAGTTGTTTATAATTAAATGCATATTACTATTTGTTGTTCTTCTTAAAAAGAAGTGTCAACATACATAATATTTGCCTTGTGCACAGCAGTAACGTGGCTTCTCTGATTATTTCTGGCATACTCAAAAGCAAATTCGGCAATACGCTTGCTGGCTTCTTCTGTGATAAGCTTGATACTTTGCACAACACCTTCAACAATCTGAAAGACAGTAGTTGTGTTGATAGTAAAAGTGTAAGCTCATTTTTCGAGTCACTAGTATGAATGTTTGGAATAAAGTAGTAGAATTCTGAGTGAGGCAGTCTCGACAATGCATTTCACAATAAAATAACTTTTTTATGGGTAGCAAACTTAAAAAACACCATCCAACCTCTTAGTACTAGGCCAGCGAGATGGGCAAAGTTATCATTCATGAAACACATGAATTGCCAGAAACACAATGCTTTCAGCAACATACCACATGCTCAATTCCACTGTATTCGCCTTCTGTGTTCTCTCGAATTGTGACAATGTTCACATCTGTGTATGGGGTTTTGTACCCTTCAATTGAGACACAGGGACGTACATTTGCATAAAGGTCAAAGGTTTTACGCAGAAGCAGATTCATTGATGGGTGCCCTGCAGCAATTGGGGTCTTTAAAGGCCCTGAAGGAAAAAAAAAAAAAGAAGAAAAAAAAAATACAAGAACGAATGAGAAGATAAACCCCTCCATGAATTTTAGAGGTGAAACTCTAGGTAAAGTGGTACTTTTACAGAGGATCTCCAAATTCCTATTTAAGCCGTATGCTGAAATGCCATGGGAATTCGCTGTGCTATCAAGAAGGTTATACAGTGGTATTAATCAGCTCTTTAAAGGCCAAATTGTGACCCTTACGTGGAATAGGAGTTATTACAAAAGGTTTTCACTGAAAACAACATAAAAAGATACTATTCATTAGGAACATAGTTATCACATACTATTGTATATCAGCTGCATTAGAAATGCATTCTGCATAGAGTCCAAAGGTTGGTATGTAATAATACCTGTCTTTAACATATTTCCTAGAAGATCTATGAAAGTTACGGCTTTGAAATGAAGGGCTGTTTTAAGATTACAGAGGACTACCTGACAGGCTGTCCCCTATAATTAGCCATTTTATTGTGCTACAGATGAAGGACTTTGGCTTTAAATCAGACTCACTATAAAAACAACAGCATTTAGTATCTTTGCATTAACACCTAAAGTACCTTTTAATCCCATTTTGTTTTTATCCATGGATTCTTTGGCATCTGGAGGTATCATCCACTTCCCTCCTGGTCCCTGGATAGCTGTAACATTCCTCTCTTCCCACTGAATAGGAGCCTAAACATATTTACTCTATGTTAACTTAAATATCATGACTTTTGCTTCAAGCTTTAACTTCCCTTTCACAAAAAGATGCATAAGGAATTTTGTCTAGGCTTTCCTAAACAATTTTTCTCTGGTGAGTGAGACTAAGCATGAGGTGTTTGAAATGAAAAATAAACAATTTTTTAAAAATGTAATTAAGTAAGTGAAAATGAAATAGTATGAGCAACGTATCAGCATAAACTTGAATACCACAAGATGCCTCCCTAAGCGTCATATACACAGAAATCATTAGAATTGCAAAATACACACTGCTTCTTCCAAGCTCTTAGAGCTGTTGAGTTGTATACACGAGACACGACATTTGAAAACTGAGTTCATTGAGATGAGTTCATTATCCATACTGCCTGGAAGACAGTACATAACATAGATATGTATCTGTTATCTAACTGAAAATCTGCAAATGTTCCACAACGCTTTCTGAATTTGCATTCACCATGGGAATCTTCTAAGTGGAGACAGGCTGCCACCCATTCATTTCATCAGGAAGGACCATAAAGGAAAGGATACAAGGGCTTTCATGTAAGCAAACAGAACCAATCTAAGCATAACATACTAGAGAATCCCCTTTAAAACAAATCTGATTAAGTACTGCAAACATGCACTCACACACAAACCTAGGTTTTACTCCTCCACACCTCCTGCTTGACTCCCCAGAAACAACCAAAACTTTAATTATATATGAAAACCTTATAATAGAGAACTTCACTTTTTCCAAATCTAAGTCAGGTAGTTGGAATCGAAAGGGAATATGCCTTGGTGCTGTTGCTTATGTGGAACAATTTAACAGGCATCTTTCCTGATGAGCTGTATTTCCTTTCAAGGAAACTGGACAAATTCTGGTGAAGTTCCTCGGATAGGTAGTAAAACAGTTCTTGGATATACTTAGTTTTCGTATCACTTATGTGAATGTTTGGCAGTGCAAGCAGTTTGATTTCTAAGAATAAACCAGTCCTTTCGCACACACTTTCATCTGCACTGGAAGTCATAATGAATAGAAGAACATCCTCTATCAGTTGCTTGGGATTGCTACATCAAGAAGATGATTTCACATGATATATTGAGTGCATATGTCCAAAACTTAAACACAGCATTTGCTCTTGACTCTCTGCTCCTGCCAGCTAACAGTTTCAAACCCTGCCTTAATACTGCAATCCTATCTTTTACTAGCTGAAGCTTCAGACTCTCTCTATTGTCAAGAAGTTTTAATAGCTTAAACATGACTTGATCTTTTGGAAGTTAAAAGAGAAAACATTTTTAATACACCTAGTTAATACTTGTTGTTGTAGTTAAACTTACAACGCTTACAGCAAGACAAATATGACTTACTTTGGCAGCATCAAAGATCTTCATGACAGCAGCAGAAATCTCAGGTCCTATGCCATCTCCTGGGATTAAAGTTACTGTTTGTACCTAGGTAAAGAAATATCAGTAGTACAACAAATGAATGCTTGTTTTCTACGTTGAAAACATTTTTGTGTGTTGTAGGAACCAAGTAACTACTAGAAAAGAAAAGAAAGTTTCAGTTACCAAATATTCACTGTGAAGAATAGCAGCACTGGACAGAAGCGAGAATGACTAGCTAGCTTTCAAAGGGAGTGTGCACACATTTTGAGAGAATTCTTTAAAAATCTGCCTACTATCTATTCCTATTTCAAAACACAGAGGTTTAACCTGAAAGGCAGGTTGGTGCTCAGTACTCCTTGAAATAAATTATCTCAGCATGCTTTCTTCTTGAAATTTGGAGAGGAGATAATATTATTACCTAGTTACGGCTCTGTTACCCGTATGTCTCCAATATTATCAACATGCTGCATAATACTGACACATGCTAGAAAAGATTAGATTTATGAAAAGCTACATTCACCTTAAAAAAAAAAAAATCTCATGCATATCTAAACTTCTCACTTGGCTTCCTAAAAATCTCAGACCCATTTTTAACAATACCAAGTTATTTTCCTCCCATAATGTTCTCAGTCTTGTTTCTTTTATCATCATCAAACAGATGAAACAAATTGCACAGCCCAGGCTCACTGAATAACAGGGGAAGAAAGTACTTTGCTTTGATTAAAAAAAAATAATTATGATCATTATTCTAATTGTATGTGCCCCAGCACTTTTTGTTGTATTTAAAGATTTCCAACAGTTTTGTAAAGGCTCATTATTACCTACAAAAAAGGCAGCTTAGATACAGCATTATTTGCAAAACCCCAATTAGAATCAACTCACAAGATAGATACATTTCCATCCTTCTCCACACAAAATATTCAAAATTTCAATATATATTGACTGATTTTTTAACTAATTTGAGCCAAAGAAATTCACTGTGCACAACAAAAGAAGCAGAACTTCAGATAAAAGAACGCTGCTGTTGAGCAAGCACATAACTGATGGAATGCCTCAAGATTAGTTTTGTGCTGTCTTGCGTTGTTGCTTCACAGCACAGCGGGATTCCACCTGAGCCACCGAATTTCTCATCCAAAACAGTAACGTGGTATAAACAGTACCGGAGGTGCCTCATCTTCTAAATCTTTTTATACTGTATAAGATACGAGCGACCCTTCAGTTTCTTTTCTAGCTGTTCTACCAGCTGTTCTACAAAATTTTAAGTCACAGTTCCTCTTTAAAATTAAGTCCTGCTTAAGGGTGCATGCAGTGGTGCTGAGCCCTGCTTCTGCCTGAGCAGTTTTCAAGGCCGCCTTCACTGAAAAAAAAAAGGCCCGTGGGCACTTCAAACACATACACATAAAGAAGGTAAAAAATCTACAAGGAAATACACAATCAGTGTCTAAAATACTTTAGAGAGGGCCTTGACAAGGCAGAACTTTAGATGCGAGGTAATCTAAAAGCAGCAGTAAAGTAAATCTAGTGCTTAGAGGAAACTCTGCAAAGTAAAGAAAATAGAGAAGGTTCTCAACAATCTTTCTACTTTGCCCAATATTTGCCCATTTCCAGATGACTTTCAGAAGGCTAGCTTATGTCCATATTATGTGAAAAGTCTTCATGCCACTTCTGTCTTTTGCTAGAGCCTTTTGTATTACCACTTATGCTTTAAAATGCAATTGCCAAAGACAGTAATTAATCAATACAAGGCCAGCATGGCATTAAGGGCATACATGTTCACTTATTTAGGCCTTTTTTTTTTTGAGAACATAAAAATAACAAGAGCAATCTTATAAAAGTAAATTTCTGAACGCCTTTCTGGAGAAACTTCTTAAAAGAAAAAAATGGTACTATCATACTCACAGCACTACCAAAACTTCTGGTCACCTGTTTTTGGTTTTTGAAAGCACCTAGCAATCGAGAAACCTGCAAGAATATAAAACAAAAAGATGCTATTTTGCTACATTAATGGAATTTCAAAAAGTTAACAATATTGCAGCAAATCAGCATTTTAAAATCATATTGCTTTACATTTCCTATCTCGAACTAGTATAAAAATCCAAATGAAACAAGAGTAACTAACGCTTTGCCAAGTTGCTCTCTAACATTCTGTGCGCTAGTACCTCATGTGGGTATTCTTAGCACAAGGTAAACCCAGGACAGCTGCACTTCGCAGTGTGCCATACTCTCCTATCTTGCCTGGGGGTGAGGGGAAGTTACTGCACAATAACCTGAGTCCTTACATACCACACATTTGAAATAAAGTTGCAGTAACTCTGACTAAATAGATGATATGCTATGGATTAAGATTCGTGGAAAGCAAAGTGAAAAATCAAACGCTTTCACTAACAGTTGGGCGGACAGTTTCTTTACACGTTTTAGATCCCGTTTCCAAAACTGCTTCGCGTTAGTGTCACTTCTTGCATTCAAACTGCGGTGAATTTTGTTCTTGCACCTTTTACATCTGTAGGTTTTGTACTGTTGCCTTCTGCATGCCTGACAGTTTTTAAAAAGCATAATTGAAATGCACATTAAAGAAAAAATTCACCATAGCAACGAGTCTACACTGCATAGTCAAAGAATTACACTTTCTAACATCAGAATATTCCGAACTGGCATTAAGCTTCAAAACTGGGACGATATCTCAGCTTGAGCTCTTGCCTAGCTGAGCACCACAGACAAAATCCCCAATCGTATCAGTATCGGTAATTGAACCGCCGAAAAATCACAGCCTCCCGATCTTACCCTCCCCTCTAGGATTCTTCATGCCTCTGTGACTTAAGAGTCAGAAGACTTCCGAGTGTAAACAGACTGACACTACTTCAGTTCTACCATACTCACGTATGCAGTCTCTCTGCAGCTATCAGGCTAGATAGGAATGTATTTGACAATTTGTATTCCTCTCCTGTCCGATTTGTGTTTGTTATCTCCTGTCTTTACTGACATGTATGCTGAAACGTAGCTGTGTGGCAAAACGGACAAACTATGCTGGCACTAATAGAAACAACTAGAAACAATATAATTCTCATGTATATTGTAGTGAATACTGTGGGAGAAGTAATTTAAATTCTAGCTTGGATTTATATTTACTTGTAACCCAACATGAGATGTACAAGGTCATTGCAATAGGCAAGCAATGCTTACCATAGCAAGCCATATGTTTGAGGCAATAGCTAGAGCAATAAATGACAAGGTGAATGTGACTACCCAAGTGTAAGTGCCCTCATGGTACAGTTCCTGGATAGAGAGTCACGATTCACATTCCAGAGCGGCCCTGGAAAGGGAGCAGTCTGTCTCGCCAGAAATCATGGGCCTGGCACACGATACTTAAGTTCAACATCTGTAACACTAACAGAGAATCAGGCTAAACAAAACTGATCCGTTCGGACCTTAAAGCCACGTGTCACGATTAACTCTTGACAGTTCTTCCATCTTTTAGCAGATACGTGAAGCGGGGCTTCCTCGATGACTTAGCCTCCAACAGGCCATTATTAAAAGGCGCAAAAGAAATGTCATTTACTCAAGGCAAAAAGCAGCAGCATCTCCGTGACAGCCCCAGGAATAACGGCTGCGTTTCAGGACAGTCCAGCCCCACCGAGTCCCACAGGGCCGGCAGCGGGCCGGAAAGCAGTCGGACAAAACCCAGCCACCGTATCTTTTCCCCAGAAGTCTCCGTAATGCCTGCTATCGCGGGCTCTTTTCAGGACTGACGTTTTTAACCTTCACCGTTCGTAAGCAGCGCACGATCAGCCCCGCACGGGGGGAGCTCCTGCCGGCGCGCGGCTGTAGGCCCACCCCGGGGACCGCCCGTTGCCGCCCGAGGGCTGATCCCCCTCCTCGGCCTGACTGCGGCGAGGCGCCGGGCCGATGCTGTGACCTCTA